TTTGCAGGTAAATGTTTGTGTGATGCTGTTTATACAGATGTCCAGATCTGATCATGCGGTTTCAGACTCTATCGGAATCAGACGTTACGGACTCGATAATATATGTATATGAATGTGTGTGTGTGTGTGTGTGTGTGTGTATATATATATATATATATACACACACAAACACACACATATTCTCATTATATTTTAACACATCGATAGTTAGACCTCTTTCTTGTCTTCACACAGAGACAGCAATGTGTGCAGCATGACATCACTGTTGCAGAGAGGCTATTGGTTAAATGCTGGCAAAGTGGAACACGGAAGCAGCTTGAAAGAGAAAGTGTGAGTATGTCTGCTCTGGAGGTATTATAAAGTTGATGATGACAACATGGCCATAGCGAACTGTTAGATATGTAAACTTGGGATTGTCTGCCGGATATTTTATGTTGAGGTGCTATTTGTTTTTATATTCGCTATTATTTTTATATATATATTTTTTATATATTAACTCTTGCACCTAAAGTGAAGAATTGATGTTAATTATTTCTTGATTGTTCAAGCCACCTCACAGAAGTGCTCTGTTTGTTAACAGAGTTGTTGAATGTTAAAATAAGGTGAATTAAATAAAAAATAAGGAGCATTCTGGGTCTGTTTCTTACCTCTTCTTTATTTTTTTTATGTATCATAGAAGTGTTGGATTGGGTTTTGCTATCGGCAGATACTCAAAATCAAATGACTGACTCGAGGGCAAAAACCTGATCAGGACATTCCTAGCTGTTTGAACTAATTTACTGCAAGTTTATTGGTCTACTCTTTGTACTATCGTGGTTGCATGTCAGTAGTGCAGTTAAAGTTTTCCATGGGAAAGTTTTATTATTATTATATTAATAAATTGTTGTTATTATCATATTTATTATTGTTTTTTTATGAATTCTGGTCATGTCAACATGGGAGCACTTGTAATCTAGTGATGAATGACCCTCTCTGTGTAGAAAAAACACTGATTTAATTTTATTTTTTACCATTTTGATTATGCAGGGAGGTAAGCAGTTTGCACTACGCCACTGGACGTACACTCTTTTCAGTGTGGCTTTTAGGTAAAAACAGTGTGAGGTGAAACCTCCCAATGTGATTCTCTAAAATGCGCTGCTTGTGAAGGGTAAAACCTGGTAGGTTGTCTCTTTAAATCAGCGCTGCGGTGGTGATGTGCCCGTGAGCTCAGACGGTTTCAACCACATCCACCTCTGCAGTGGGCAACTTTAAATGCGCGCGCTCGACATCGCCTCTCACGCGACTGACATTCAGTTTACACTCACATTCTCTCTCCTACAGACTGGTAGATCCCACGCTAAACTGAGAACTTATTGGAAGCCATCTTTGGGGAAAGAAAATAATATCAAAAATATTCAACCCACAAAAGTTCTGATAAACAGTTTTAGTTTTCTTCATAATATTTGTTTATAATAAAGTTTCCTTAACATTTCAGTCATGAAAATATTTTTAAGGAATAAAAGTATATAATTATTTATTTATAAGGAATACACCTACACATTTTATGAATACATTGAAGATAGAGGTCTTAACAGGATATTTACCTGAATTGGAGTCTGATTCTTTCTTTTCTTTCTTTCTTTCTTTCTTTCTTTCTTTCTTTCTTTCTTTCTTTCTTTCTTTCTTTCTTTCTTTCTTTCTTTCTTTCTTTCTTTCTTTCTTTTGTTATCCAGTGTAGGAGAATACATTTTCTTGCACAAAATGTCAGGAACTTGCAAAGTGTTTTTTTGTTTTGTTTGTTTGTTCATATTAATCTCGTTGTATATCCCAAGCAGCATATGCTTGGGGTCACAACCAATATTAATATATAAAATACCATTAATTTCTTGTTCAATCATGACCCAGAACTTTTGAATTTCCCTGCAAAGCCAGAAACAATGAACAAGATCTCCTTTCTCAGTTTTACATTTTAGACACATTGGTGACAACTCCTCTTTAAGCTTGTGCCTCCGTGAGGGAGAGATGTGAGCTCGATGTTGAATTTTTAGTTGCATTGCTTTTACTCTGTTAGGGACATTACATTTTTTCCAAGCTTCCTCCCATTGATTTTCTGGGATTTGTATATCAAGAGTTCTTTCCCAAGTCTTGTATTTAAAGAGCCACAATCCTTAAGGACTTTGTAGAAACAGCTTGTAGAGTTGTCCCAGTGTGAACAAAAGTTGTCTTTTCACAACTGTAATGTCCTGATTTTTGAGAATTGTGTTGTCTTTTTTTTCCCCCAGTGTTATATTTGTTGGTCAGTTGTCAAAAGACATTAAAATATTTCCATCAAACAAGTCATATAATGTGGTGAGAACTTTTTATGACCAGACTTTAAATTGTGGGTCTTCAGTCCCTACAGAAAGTCAAAATTATCATATAGAATAAAGTTTTAAAAAAACAAAACTTATTTTCCTTGCGGTCCTTGATTCAAAATGCAGGCAGATGGTAACACCTGCACTTTAGAGAGAGAGTAATGAAGCTTATGGAACTTATGCTACTGGTGTTTATCTTTTATGATGGTTCCTGTGTTAGAGAAGTTAGATTTGTGTTTGATCATAGTCTGAAACATTGACTTTTCTCAGATTACAGATGTTGTAGTATGTTGATATGCAGGGATGGGCAGTATTTATGATGCATGTATTTCAAATACAAAATAGTATTTTGTAATTTGTACTTGATAGGGTTTATGAAAATGGATTTGAAATCAAAATACTTTAGTGTCATGTATTTTTGTATTTTTAAAATACTGTAAAATACTTTGTAAGAAGGGCTTTATGATAACATCTTAAAAATGTGGCCTCAGATTGATGCTTTCTTAGTTATTTGTCTATAGGCTTGGGATCAGAACAGAAAACTGATTAAGAAGGTGGTTAATGCTTGGAGTATGGATGGAAATTATGCAACACGCAAAAAGTAAATAAGGCAAATGGCAACAAAAGTCAACAATCGTAAAAATAGTATACTGCACAATGTTAAGACCAATAATATACAGGCTACGCTAATTATTCTCTTTATTCTCTATTTCCACCTGGAGATACTCATCGCTAGACCCCCAGAGATTATGCAGTGCCACTGAAGTGATCCAATACCTGTGAAGAGATGATCCCAAGGTTTTCCACATTCCCGGACCAGGCCGTAGCAGCTGCTGTGGTGGTCATGGAGGAGTAGAGAGCCTGAGACTGATTCCTGTGTAACTCCAGGGACCGCCAAGTCTTCACTGACCTCCTGCGTTCTCCAGCCTCCGGCGCCTCGACTGCAGCTCTCCACAAGACATTTTGCCATATGAGAAATGGTCATGCTAACTGAGCCAGGTTTCACCCAAGGTTTTTTTTTTTTTTCCCTCACTTTCGCCCATTGGTGAAGTTTTTGTTTTCCTCGCCACTGTTGCCACTGGCTTACATCGTTCAGGACTTGTAGAGCTGCTCATCGATGGATTACTCTTTGGTGTTTAGACTTCCTGCAGTGAATATTAAAACACATTGAACTAAACTGAGCTAATCAAAACTGAACTACACTGTTTCAATTCACTATAATCTTCTAAGTGAAGCTGCTTTGACACAATCTACATTGTAATAGTACTATACAAATAAAGATGAATTGAATTGAATTGAATACAATGGCAGTATAGTATACAATTTGATCAGCATCTTTGCTTAAGAAATGCTGTACAGATGGTGGACTGGTGTTGACTAAGGGGGCAATCTGGGACATTTCCAGTTAAAGAAGAACTGAAAAAATCTTGGAGAAATGAATAGACTGTACAAATAGTAGTAGTTTTCTAATAGTGGTGATTTCTACAATACTTCATACAGTTAATAAGAGAGTTGTAAAAGTTGCACAATACAGCATATGAAACACAAATATTTAATAATATTGCAGTCTATACAGATTGGTCAAAAACTCCAGACCCCTGTTACACAGCAGCAGCAGGATGTATATGAACAGTTTATATGCAAAAACAGATAACTCAATTATCACTCAATTTTTATAAATATCGGTTGTACATTGAAAACTACAATTGCAAAAAACATGATTTCTGGAAATTATTACAACTGGAGTTTTCAGTAGTTTTATTGAACAAACAAATAAATAACCTTTTCATATTTCACCCTTTTAAATATAAGTCTCTTAAGAGATTGTTGCAGTTTCACTGGCCATGCAATGGATGGAAACACAATGAAGAGATATTGTTCTATATCCCAACAATTACATGGGTTAAAGAGATCATGTTCAAGACAGAACTTACTGTATGAAATTTGTACAGAATGTATGCTAAAGCCGAGGAGAAACAAAAGTTTATGGAGAGCTACTCATGTACAGAAGTAGAGGTGAACAAGGTACAGAGAAACTGATTTAAAATCCCCCAGAGATGTGTTTACCTCCCTAAGTAAGTTTGATGCTGAAGGGATTGGTGAAATATGTCTATTGATCGAATGATAAAGAATAATTGTCATGCTCTTTTGTAATAATATTTTGTTGTATTTTCAAAATACAAAAATACAGTATTTTATTTTGATACATTTGTGGCTGCTGTATTTTGTAGTTTATTTTGATACACGTAAAACTGAGGTATTTGGTGTTTTATTTTAAAATACACTTCAATGTATTTTTGCCCATCCCTGTTGATATATGTAATTATGCAAGAAGAAACTCGTGCCCCAGGCTGTGGGAAACAACATTGTAAAAAATTCTTGCACATATACCTTAAATTTTGCTTCGTATGACCTGAGTGTATCATTATTTTTAGGTGAACTGTCCCTTTAAGTACGAAACATTAACAGTTCTTGGTTCGTTTCGAGTCAGATATGACGAAAGTAAAAACTTGCTGTTGAGTAAGTGAGTCACATAAATTCAGTAACTGTTCTAAATGGTTGAAATGTGTTTTGAATCACTATAAAGAGTCGATTCTTAAGAATCATTTAATTGAGATTCGGACTAATAAGCTTCTTTTTGCATTGATTCACAAAAAAGAACCGGCTCATAGGAGTCATTCGTTGAACTGATCTCAAGCTGTAAGATTCAGTGTCGGTGCTGCGGTGCATGGTAGTACGGAAACCCTGTCAGAGGATTTCAATGCTGTGATCCTTCTGCATCGGCGGAACAATGCACCTTCAAGCACTGTTAACCGAACCGAACCGAACGTCATGAAAATCACTTCGATGCGCTATTTTGTATGAAAAATGGAGCCGGTTCATCGCTTCTCAGTTCATAAGACCTGATGTTGGTCTTCCTTGGAGATGGAGTATATATGCCCTCACGCTCGACAAGTCTATCAGATAATGGGACGTAAAGATGGGGAACGACACCAGTTGCTCTCTTTAAAATAGGTAAGAATATATTCAGTTAACGTTATGTTTTAGATAACAGCCTATTTTGGCGATCTTATTCTGGTGCTGTAAGTGATATCCACCAAGGTGGCTCATAAATTCACGCAGCCACGTTCATTTAAAAACATTTTCCGATGAAAGTCCTGAATTTGCCATTTTGGTGGAAGGTAAGGGGTGTTGGCTTCTGCTCGTCATAGAATTACGATTTTGGAGACACTAGAGTGTTTTAACGCATTCGTAGAGCTAGTGTATTTTTACACTACCTACGTTGTGATGATGAGGTCGTCGCGGTGTTTTTTACGCTTGTGCTTTAACGTTAGCACGAGTGATATTTCCAAAGACTTACGTCACGGCGAATGCGCACGTGCCCAAAGGAAATCTCCGCAAATAACTTATTCGTCCATTCTGAGCTGTTTTTCAACAAGGAATGGTTCATGTTGATGTTCGCTTTGTTTTCTGCTTTTTTCTCGGATGTTCTACAGCCTCTCCTGTCGGAGAATGACCCCCCCTCAGCGCCTGTCGGAATGCCGTTTCTCTCCGCGTGCACAAGGGCCACGCGCCAGATGGCCACATCATAACCGACTGTGATACTTGATACTATTGCACTAAAGCTGGACCTAAACTTTGAAGATCTGATGGTGAGTGATTCAGAGCACTTAATTTATGTTTTTAGTTACAGTTTAGGGCAGTTCATGATATAACATACAACTTTAATCTTTTATACGCACTCAGAAACTTTCTTTTAGATTCTCTGTTTAATTCTAATGGCAGTGAATTAAGAGATTCCCCCCCCCCCCCCCCCCCTAAACAAGCGGGCGTTTACGGGAATTAGAATTGATCTCCGATGTTATGTAGCCTACCGATATAAAGCGATGCCTCACAATAGTATCGCCCCATAGATTATCGTATTTTCTCACCGCAGAGAAAGAAGATCCATTTGTCCGCGTGCTCAGTCCCCCTGCGCGGTTAAATTAAGTTTATTTAGTTACGTGTAGTCGACACACAGTATTTGAATCTCTGAAAACGGTATAGAGATTGTGTAGAAGGGATTTAGTGAGAAGGGAAACCGCACTGGTGCCTCTGGAAGCTGGAGAGCGCGTGCAATGAATATCAATTGTCATTGTCAGCTAATCATCACAAGGGGCTGTGGCGTGTCCGTGGCCTTGGTTATCCCTGAGGCAAAGGCGATTTTACATTGTTTTTCCAATTATACTTTAAAAAAAAAAAAGATCTATGACAGCACCAAATTATACTCGCGGCTGTATGACGTGGATAGAGATTTTAACTGTGTATGTTATGACGTACACAATAGGTGTATGACGTCGCCTGTCGCCGCTTCCTCTTTAAAGATATCCAGCCTATCAGGTCATCCTTATCAGCCAACCAGGCAAAAGGTTTTTTTTTTCACCACACAGAAAGCACATAAGATCACAGCAGCACCATGGAGAGCGCCTTTAGCGCTTTATCTGTTTTAAGCACCAAGGACAGAGACCCGAACCAGCTAGGCCTACAGTCAATGACAGTGTTAGAAATTGCCTTGATCTAATAATTTAAGAACATAGATCTCAGCAAGGGCGTAGGTTTGCTTTGAAAACAGGGACATATTGCGAGGAGGCAGGGATGAGATTAAGATAAGATTCTAATCTTTTTTAAACAAACAAGTGATTAGAACAGTGAATCAAGGGACCTTGATCAGAGTGTTGATGTTGGAAAATGCCACCTCACGGTGGTACATCTGTTGATAAAGAGAATGATTTATTCCATACGAACAAAAGTCTCATTTTATGTACTTTTCTGAGCCCTACAATATTTTATATGACAGCTGACCTATTCTGTAAATGTGTCGAAAAAGAAAAAAGGTTTTTAAAACATAGGAAGGAGCTTTTTTGGAGCAAGAAAATATGTATGTTGTTTTCATGAATCATTTCAAGTTTGTTTAGAATAAATGTGATGACATATTAACAATATTCAATTGAAAGATCATAAAACATCTACAATTATAAATCCTTTATAATAAATTATTATAAAAAAAGCCATTATAAATCTTATTACTTTGCCCTTATCCATCAGACCCCTGGATTTATCCATTTGCCAGCATGTATTTTTTATTTTATTTTTATATTTATTTAAAATATTTTGCAATGACATGTCCATCGACTAGTATTTCAAGTCTTTTGTAAAGGGTACAGTTAACAATAAATAAATAAAAAAAGTCTTTCTAGATACATTCTTGAAAAACTCCTATAGAGAATTACAGATATGCCAGAAATCATCAGATCATGAAGTCATAAGTCAGTTTTTCTGAGGGTAAGAAAATGGCAGATTTTTCCACATATTGACCAAATGAATGTTACACAGATTCTAGTCCATAACTAGGGTGTAGAGCAGTTTTACGATTCAGAAGATAAATAGCTGGAAATCGGGCAAAAGGTCTACCAATAATCTTCTGAACTTATTTGTGGATTTCTTTCCAGTATGTCTTAATCACATCACAGTCCCAGAAAACACACATCACAGTACCAATGTTGGATTTACACTTAAAACAACATTAAGAAATATTAGGAATTATCTTATTGAGACAACTGGTGTTAAATAAGTTCTGTAAAAAATTACAAATATTGTGGTTTGATATTGTGGCACCTTTGAAAAATATGCCGGAACAGACTATTCTAATCACTAAAATAAGTTCCACAATCTTTCTCACATTTAACTTTCAAGGAGGTAAGGGAAGGACACCCTACATTGGATAGAGCAATGTATTTTTATCAATTTAGTGTGATAACTTATTATACAGCGTGGGTTTCCTCCAGATGCCCTGGTTTCCCCCAGAGTCCAAAGACATGCTGTAAAGATGAATTGGATAAAATAATGTAGTATTGTGTGAATGGGAGAGAATGTGTGTGTGTGTGTGTGTGTGTGTTTTAGCTGGAAGTGCACCTGCTGTGTAAAACAATTGCTTGAGAAATTGGCGGTTCATTCCACTGTGGCGACTCCTGATAAAGCAGGGAATAAGCCAAAGAAATGTGAGTGAGTGACGGTGTATCATTGTTTCACTACTTTTTTTTCCTATAAATAAAAAAAATAAATAAATAAATAAGTGGACAAATTAGTTTTGGCCCAAATATTTACTATTTACTGTCATATTTGTATAAATGTACATCTATAAATCTGTGAAGTATAATTAATTGTGGCCAGCAAAAAGTTTTTTTAGTGCTTATCCTATTTATTCCAAATCTATGAAGTTGTTTATCACTGGATTGGTATTTTATTATAATTATTATCTCATTTCTACAAGATTTACAAATTAAGTGATCACAATGGCTCTCGAGATATTTAAATATCAGTGTATTTAAAGAAATAAATGGGCAAAAAATATTGTTTCATCAATGTTCTGCAAAGATTTTAAACCAAAGACTTATCTTCTTATCGAGCTCTGTTATATAGTGTTGCCTATACACCAAACAATGTACTGACTACTAAATGCTGCAATCGCCCAATAAGAATTTAGCATTTTAGAGAGCTGTGCAAAAACACTAAATATGTTTTTACAAGTACCACATTATCCATTAGACCTTGCAAAAAAGCTTTTTCAGATTACAGAGGACATGAAAGTGCAAGAGATGTGCAGAGCAGCTCTTTAAAACCGCACACAAGTGCACCCTTTCCACACGGATTACAGTGAAGATCATGGCCACCTACCACCAACATTGCAGAAATGAAAATTGAATTGCATGCTAAAGTCGGTTTAATTATTGATCGCATAGTAATTTATTTTAGTTGTTTATATGCAAAAGAAATCTTGAATATCAAAGAGTGTTTGTAGAAAGAACGCAAAGATAGTCGTCACATAAAAACTGCTTTTTGTTTTGTGTTGTTTGTGAGAGAAAAAATGTGTTTACATATGGCAAGCTGATTTGACATTCAATCTATAAAACATACTAGTGTCTATTTTCATGCTATAGTACTTACTTTTAGTTACAGATGTGCTTTCTATTAAAGAGCCTTTATTTTGCATTTAAAAAGTCATATTTTGGTTTTAAGGGTCTCCAACAACAGGCTTATATGCCTGTTAGGCTTGGGCTGGTATAAGATTCTGACGGTATGATAACCTTGGATAAAAATATCACAGTTTCATGCTATCACGATATTGTGATTACTGCTCTTAAAATATATTCTTTTTAAATGTCTAGGTAAAAAACTTTTTGCCCCTTGAAAACAATATATTTAATTTTTTGAAAGATTTATAATAGTTTGTAACAGTAAACATGCAAGGATAAATAATTCATAAGATTAATTGACTTCTGCTGCCTTCATTTGTTTCAAAAACACTGATCTTTACAATTTAAAATCCCATCTTTGGATTTTTCTGCTGGAGTTACTGAAAAAAGTAAATAAAAAAATCTTACTCGTACCTTAAGAATGGTATAGCAGAACATTTAGGCGGTTTCAAAACCCTGACTTTTTCAAACCGCAGTATACCTTGAACATTATTATCATCCTATGCCTAATGCATGCAAGGTCAAAACACTTTCATTGCCTTATAAGATGTATTTATTTTTACCTAATTATCCCAGCGACTCCCATATGATTTGTTAAGCGATTCTTTTGTTCCTAAACCCTTCCTTAGCGCAAAGCTAATTTACGCTAATTGGACCGATGACCCAGTCTGTTGCGATTGGTCGACTGCCTCCACCACGGCCACAGTATGAAGTAGCAGAAAGTATGTCAGAGCCCAATGCAGAAATGCAATAAAGCAATGCAATTGGTAATAAGTTGTACATATATCCAACATTAGCAACTACTATGTAATGAATAAGACTGCAGTCAGTAGCTATAGTAACTAATGAATAATTACCATAATTTTATGTGAAATATACAAGTAGCTATTAAAAAAAGAGTATTAGTAGAATGATAAAAGATATCAGAATGTTTTTAAATGTGATAATATGCTAAAACAGCTTGTTATACTTGCAAGCTCGTTGGTGCATCTAACGTTTATATATTAGATCATGTGTTTTTGCAGCATTCTTCTGCATGTGTGCAAATTGGAGTGTACACATTTGGTATATGTTTATGAACATATCTGTAAACGCCTGCAACAAACTCAAGCAGTCATGTTCAGTTGGAAAGATGAGTCTGTGTACTGGAGCAGACTGATTGACCAAGTTTTGTCTCCAAGATAAGCATGCTCACTGAGGCACACAGAAGGAGAAGCCAAGAACACTTTTAATGCTCAAGACGCATCAGAGACTAAATATGGAGGAGCCACGGCAATCTTTATAACATCATATTAATACCAACGCATTTTATGAGATTGAACAGTTTCAGCCTGCTGTAAAGGCGCTGCGTTGATCAATCAATTTCAATGGCTCATTAAATATCACTTTCCTCAGACGACAGTGTGAAAATGTCAATCACATTGGCCCCCGAACGTACGATTGCACCCTAATCAATTTAAGGGCCATAGGCTGACGCTATTTCACTAATCATATTTAATCCAAGCACAGCCTGTCCGAGAGAGAACGCATGGTGTCTTACTAGTGACAGCAGCCGATTCTTTTTCTATTGTCTCACCGTCGCTATTCGCTTCAGAATTGGATCTGTCAGTTTTCATATGTTCACCTTCTCCAAAATCTCA